GGCCTGGGTGGGGAGGCAGGGTAGAAAAGCGGCGGGGCGCAGGGCTCCTCTGGCGGTCACAAGCGGCGGGAGGAAGGAGAAGGCGCTTGCGGGAGGGGCCTGCCCGCCTCCAGTGCTCACGCATCATTTTAAAATGGAGGGCCGAGGTTTTTCCCAGGGCCCAAGCATATCCAAGGTGTGCGCTGTGCAGCAGCGTATTAGGATTTCAGTGTTCCGTAGGAATTCACCTGACCGTTGCTCTCCCGGCCATTTTTTTCCCCACAAACCACATTACAACCCTCCCCCCCCAGCTGGTCTTCTCCATGAACGGACGCTGTGTACGTAAAACAGGCCAAAACATAGCTTGTCTCACATTTCCTACCTATCCAGAAAAACAAGTGAGCAGGACCATTGCTGTAACAATAACCTGACATCCAGCATCCAAAACTCAGAGCAGTTAGATTCAAAACATACAAAAATATTACTTGCTATAATGGTGTGCCAAAAAGAGAAGTAGGAACTTGTAATTCCAGATCTCTGGCGTTTAGTCACTCCATGTAGTTGTTAATAGGAGGCTTAGCCCTTTGTCAGCAACAGTCTTACTAGTTGGAGGGGCCCTTTTCATGCCACACCTCTTATCCACAGGTAAAGGTGTTCTTCCAAGTGACCTGCTGCTGCCCCCCCCCCCCCCCCCTTTTCCCCCTTTTTTCCAACCCAATAAGTTAAAACACAGTAAAATATCACTTTAGGATTAAAAGTGGAGTGGTCTCTTTCTACTTGGAGTTTGCTGGTCATTTAGCAGTCCATGAGCCAAAGGTAACAAGCAGTAGTACAGACTACATACAGCACAGCTTTGTTTCTGTAGCAATAGGTGGCTCTTCCCAAAAGCTTTCTTTGATAGGATGGGTTAAGAACATAAACCTTAGCTCCAGCTCTCAGCCATCTCCCATAGAAGAGGTGTGGTGACACTTCACTGTCTTTCCAAGCAGCATACGCACATATTTGAATAGGGTATTCAATAAGTGACAAAAAAATTAGTTTAAGGTTCCTTCAGCAGGGAAGGAATGTATAGAGGAACATACAAAATTACTGAAAAAGAAGAAAAGTCTACCATGACTAGGAACAGAAGTGTGCTTATTATTTCACAGTAACATCCGGACAGCTCTAAACATTAACTTGGTGGTGATGCTTCATCTACCATGGTCTGATAAATCTGCCCACAAAATCTTCCATACTATACTGCTGATTAAAGCCAGATGCATGGTATAAGGGGGGGAAAGGGGAGGAATGATGACAACACAGAAAGGACAGCCACCACCACCCAAAAGCAGCGTAAGAGTTTTGAGTGAAATCTAGAGTTTCCTTAAAGTTGTTTATGATGGTAAGAACACTACCTAACCATGAGAAACCATACTGAAGACAAAAATAAAGATTGGTGGTGGTGGTGGTGTTTAAATATACTGATGAAGCAAGTTACATACAACAGCATCCCTTTCTTACAGATACTGGCCAAAAACTTACACACAGATGTCAGACCAAAGCAGAAAGTTACCTTCCAAAAAGTAAAGTGTCAACAACCAGCATTTATCCTCTATTTCGCATGTTTGTAGCGGAGGATTTTTACAGCTTGTCAGAGTTACCAAATTATGCCTTGGCTTGTTAGTCAGCAGCATCTTTCCTTGATAAAGAAACACTTCATTGAGTTGAAATGCAGAAATATTTATTTTGGTTTCCTTCATTGGTTTTGAAAATTTTTTTTGGTTTTATAAAACATAGAAATAACCAACACTAAGCAAACATTTGAATTCCAATGTAACAAACTACTGCTCTAACAGTTGACTTGGATTTGTGTACCTTCATTGCACACATGTATGAAATTATGCTACAGAGTAGTGCATTACAATCACACACAAATCTTAGTGCAAACCTTGTTGTGCTTGTATTTTACATATATCCATGTTTTCAAAGAACAGCAATGAACGCTAATGCAAAACCAACTCTGCAAAAGACTTATGCTGTAATAAGGCTTATTTCTGCTGATTTCTCAAACAAAAGGTAACTAGTTATTTCGTAATTTATGCAGGAATTAGGTTTTTATCCCTGAACAAATACCTATCCTGTGCCAACACACAGTTCTGTTGGCATATTTAAATACTGCCAATTGCTGCAAAGCATCAGGCAAAAACATTCTACCTGACCTATTTTGCTATTCAGTGAAGAATATTCAGTGGCTCATACATAAAGCACAGAAAACTGAGAGGTTACGTCAGAAGCTCTTCTGCTTAGAGGACCTGGCACATTTAAAAAAAATGCATTTTAAATACACATTCATTACAGGGAAACAAGTGGCTAGTACAGGTGCAATGTTTACCTGACTGTTAGCATAGCCCAACCTCCTGAATGGTTTTGGTTTTAGGTCTCTAGTGTTCTTGTCAGAGTTAGGATCTGTTCATTTACAGGGCTGTCATCACTCTGGATTTGTGTTAAGGTAGCAAAGGCTACGCTTGCTGAATTAACTGCATCCACACTTTTGGTGCGGAACCATCACATGCAGACTTACTCTGAGGAACTTGTATTCATCAGTCTCCTTTGCATGGAGTTCTGACTTCTACCTTATAAAAGTAGATCTCAGACCCAGCTGCACATATAGAAGGGAGAAAACACTCAGGTGCCTTGCCCCAGTTAATATTAGGACTAATGCAAGATGCAATACCAGCTATACAACTGTAGATGGTTTTTTTGGTGGTTGTTTTTTTTTGTTTTGTTTTTTTTTCTGAACAGATTAAAGTAATCCTTCTGAGGATGCAAGATACTTTAGAGGCATTTTCAAACCTGCCAAATCCTTTGTGGAATTGACAACTGCAAAATACGCTGCAGACAGCAAACATGCTGGCAATAAAACCTTAGCTCCTTGGTGAAGGAGAGTCCCATTTTTGGCCAAGGAAGTCTTAAATAACTTACATATAGTTACCATTTATAGTTAAGGCTCTTTTTGGAAATTGTAGGTCACCATAAAAACAGTATGCAACACAACTTGACAGTAAGGCAGTGTTCCATTTCTTCAATGTTCCTATGGCAAGTACCCATTTTTGTACAAGTTAATGATTGCACAGTTTCCTTCCCTATGTTTGCTGTAGTCAAATTACAGATATGAAGGCCAACAGTAGACAGACGTGTGCCACTTTCCTCATCCCATTCTCAGTTACATTTTGGCATTAGCATAGAGTTCCTCTATCTGTGACTGGAAATATTTTCGCAGTTCTGGTCTCTTCGCCTTCAGCGTTGGTGTCAGCAGGCCGTTTTCAATAGAAAACATTTCAGCGTGCATGACAATGTCTTTGACCTGGAAAATAAAACAGTTCCAAGGAATGCAGCTTGGCTAGTAATAGACAAGGCTATTGAAAAGATTGCTCATACATCATAACAAAGCCCATCACTTTAAAGATTTGAGATGCAAATTAAAATCAGTTTCTGCAGAGTCATATTATATTGGTATTGAGAAGTTTAAAGAATTAGGTGTTCAGTTATCTTTAGCATCTTACCTGTTCAAATGACTTCAAACCAGATTCTTTCCCAATCCTCACCATGTCTTCCAGAATGTATTTTTTGAGGTCCTGTGGATACAGGAATACACTGTATAGCTTGAAACAGTTGATGCAGAACAGCTAACTGCTTAGTTAGATATGACTCACCTTGTTTTTGCATAGCTCTTCATATGAGCCTTCAAATCCCTTTTTCTTGGCCCAGTTGCGCAAAGTCTCAGGATCAGGTACCACAATAGCTACTAAGAAGGCCTAAAGAGGAATTTTTGTCAAGCTTTTTTTCTTTTCTTTTTATAAAGTCAAGACTTTAGTTCCTACACATTTCTTACTAGTCAAGGTTAGGTTTTGGACAGCAGTTCTGATCCTGCTGTAAAATCAGCAGCTTTCTGCTACTTGAACACAGGAGTGCAGTTCAGAAGCTTGCACTTAAAGAGAATTACTCTTGTTAAGACCCACATTTCAATTTACACTTGCAAAAACATGGACAACTTGGGTTTTATTTTCCTGGCACACTGTTGGCAACTTACATACAGTCATTAATACTCAGTTAAATTAATCCAGCCCTACTACCAGGTCTGAAACTAAATCCAGAAACATGTTATATAACTGCTGGAGTTGAAACTGCATTCAGAACCAAAATGTGTCATGTTAAAAAAAATTTTAATATTTCAGTCCCAAAGTTGGGGGGGCGGGAGAGAGAGAAGGATAACTCTTTTCTGCAGTCTCCTCGTGCATTCATTTTTAAAATTACCTGAAGAATGCTTACCTGCAAGCTCTCTCCATGGACAAACACCTGTGCAAGTGCTTCACATCTCAGATACACATTTTCTATTTTCTCTGGTGCTATGTACTCTCCCTGGGCTAGTTTAAATATGTGTTTTTTCCGGTCAATGATCTTCAATGTACCATTCTGTTGACAGAAATAGCTTCCACTCAGAAGAGGCACTTGAAGTGAAAAACCAATCTATACAGTTTAAGCATGCCACATGAGATGACATAATGTACCAGAATTAAAACAGACAAACAAGAGTTTGTTTCTATGTATTTC